ACCTTATTAGTGTTTTATAACTCCTTATTCTGATCTCGTACTGCACTTGAACTTTCCACAGAGCTTCACATCTGATTTGGCTCCATATGGTTATATTAACAAATTCGAAAATTTGCCACCAGCCCAACTTTAACCGTTGACCTTGTCTGTGAGGGTTTGGAAGCTTAACCAATAAGCTATAAAACCCAAACCCCAAATATTTAAAATTTAAAAAATATAAATCTTAAGTATATTTATAAAAATTTTTCAAGCAAATTTGCCTAGAAAAGCCTACAGATTAAAAGATAATTAGTAATGTAATATTAAAATATAAAGCTAAATTAAGTATATAGTTTAAAGAAAACTTTAAAAAAAAGACTAAATCTATATCAAATTCATAATAAACTTAAAAATAAAATCTATAAACTTAAAACTATAGATAATAATATAAAAATATTAATACAGCAGTACATAACAATCAACTCAAGCAATATATTGAATAATAACTTGAAATTGAAACTATAGTACAAAAGGTCAGTTATAACATTTGCATACAGATAAAGAACTCATAATGCAATCAAATAAACATGGCAAAAAAAAAATCTTTGACTAGAATTTGAACAAAGCTTATTCATAAAAAGAAAAAAATATTACGAAAAATAACATACCAAAATTTACATTATACCTTTTCTTTGTGTAATATTATAATAGCTTGTCTGTAATTAAGTAATTATATACTATACTATACTTTGTCGATCATTATGACATTTTATAGAATTAGTTCCTACTTTACATTTAGCATAATAGCTAATTAGAGTCTAATAGATAAGATAAATAAAGAGTTATAAAACACTAATAAGGTAGTTAACAAGTTGACTAGTTACTTTTAGAGGATTCTTTTGTGTACTGGGTACACTTTGAAAAGATACTTGTATCGGTTACGCTTTTTAGTACTTTTCTTGTAATAAATAGTTGGTTTTCTATTTTTAATGCTCACGGCCTGTAGTTAAATTGGCAGTACAATAGGAAAGGCATAAGGTACCTAGTGCCTAGCATGATGCCTATATACCTATTGTATTTGCAAAGCCCTAACCCTTATCAAGAACATACCTACTTTTAAATAGTGATGTTATGTGGTCTGGTCTTAGACTAATGAACCTACAGTTAGTCTTAAAACTTGAAAAAAATTGGTCTGCTTTATAATAGACCAGACCAGACCTGGACCAGAATAGACTGGACTTTCTTTTAAATACTTACTAATTGATCTTTATTATTTGGGTGGATATGTTATTGACAGGGTGTATAAATTGATTATCAAAACTGATAATGTGCAAAAAAGAAAAGTCTAATATTTTCATATTATGATTGCTGTAAAAATTGAACGACGAGGATAAACCTTTTTTTTTTTTTTACGAAAAAACACATTACATATTTCTTAAATTACGGGTATATATTATAGCTTTCAAATTTAACATTGATATAATTAAGCTCTTATAAGAGTCTTTCCACTGTATTTAGGTCAAAAAAAAAAAGAAAAAGCTTAATAAAACATTTAACCACATCAACAGAAATATGTAAAAAAGAAGTGACTAACGTGATCGTCTTTTTCTCTACAGAAGGTGATTCGGGTTTTGCTCTATTTAATACTTTCAGGAAAGCCTGTACGCGTGCGCGCATTCTTGAATGCATATAGGCTTTGGAACACTTAATGTGATAATGAAGATAATCACGAAACAGCTGAATTTGGGAAATCGTTTTTTCCCGCACTTCGCCCTTGACAAAATGGCGAGGGAACAAGACTGTACACCCAATTATTAATAATGTCATTATATTTAAATCCGTAACGAAAGTAAGTACGGGAAACTTACCAAAGGTGACATAGCCAACATCTTCGTTTTGTGATTCAGACAAATATCTAATTTCTAATGGAGGGTCTTTACTAGAATAAAGAACTTGAGGTGCCTTTTGAATTGCTGGTCGACGACGAGCATCAACGAATTCCTGATAAATATTTTATCGGGAATGTATCTATATAAGGTCTTGAAATATCACACAATACAGCATGTGCTGGATTTCTATTTACCTGCAAAAACACTCTTCCAAATATTCTATCTGTTTCTTCCTTAAACAATGTAGAAAAGATTACAGTAACTCTATCATATTGTGCTTGAATATAAATAGTTTCTTGATCTCTATAGTGAATTTGCATGAGGACAGGTGTGGGATTTGTTTGCTCTTCAGCTTCATATTGAGCTTGCTGCTCAAAAGCCCGTTCAAAGGGTTGAGCCAAAAGATTACGTTTGATTAAAGATACTTTTTTCACAAGTGCTTCTCTTTCCTCTAAAAGACAAATAGTCATTATAATTAAATGAGAAAACCCATGATAAGGCTTGAAAGATATTTTTTGTTGAATAACTCTTGCATGATCGGACCATGAATTGAGATAGTACCAACCTTTATCCTCGGGCAATTTCTGTAAATCAAACTCTAAACTAAAATCATACCCACTTTCGGTCTCTGCCAGAATATAAGCACCATATTCTTTATGCAACATATCCTGTGCCCCCCATTGGACAAGTTCTTTGAAGCATTGCATTAACATTGAAAACTTGATTATATTCTTTGATTGCGGCGTTGAAATACGGTAAGACACACCGTAAAAATCGACCGCTGTCATATCCAATGCAGTAGGTTCAAGGCTGCGAGATAAAATATTTTATCAACCATATAGGACTAGGTACAACCTCTTCCTAACTTTAAGACTTACCCTACAATGGGCTGCTTAAACGTTACAACAATGACAACGTTATGATAATCCAATAAAATCATTTTGCCTATTGAAAGTTTAACGTTAATTACGAACGTTTTAATTATATCGTGAGCTGGTTATTCATGATGCAGATCATTTTTCTTATGATTGGTCAAAAATGCCGATCCGTAATATCCGTAATACTGTAATAAGAGTAAATTCCGTCTCAAAGTAGACTACGCCACTCTTCGTCTACCAATCAAATTATAAGATCAGGTAAAATTTTCAAAAAAAACCGAAGCTTTTCAAAAATCGCCATTAACTTAAAATTTTGGTTACATAACCACCTTTTGCGTTCTAACAAAAAAAATTCCTTGCAAAATTTTAGTATAGTAT